TGTCATCTCGGACTAAGATCTGCCATCGCCCTATTCACAGATTCCTGTAGGTCAAGAGTGGTCGTTGTATGTTAGGAAAACATCAAACCCTAGTAGTGGAGATGGATGAAACCACCGAGATCGAGTAGCGTCATATCCACGCGGCCCAGCCAGGCAGTCTGTGTTGACACCATCCACGATGATCTCATGGGTCATAGTAAACACGGCCAGCTCTCAGTCGCACAGCTCTCAGTCGCAGTGTCGTGTATTTTGAATCCACCGCTAAGTAGAGTGGGCTGGGGTTGCGTTATTCATCTGAGTACCCATATACAGTATGTATCTCCTCAGGGTATGAGCATGGGTTGATATAGGCCAAACAAGAGCTAATAGGTACAAGTGATGTTCACGAGTTAACATGTTGGAGGTCGGGGGGAACTGGCCAATCATATTTGTTTTTATTTACAGTATTCATTATTATATTCTCATAAAATCAGCTTATTATGGTGTATGTTTCAACAGAAATAATATAACATACAGTATTAAATAATAAAAGAAAATGACACAGTTCAGTATATAAGGGTCTTAAAAAATAAAGACGAGCCGAATCACAAGGAAATTCTCTTCCTGACCACACACCCCCTCCTACTGTAAAGGAGGGGATGGGTGAGGGATGGGACTGTCCATACCGCATTTGCCAGCTTATTATTCATCCATTATTATATTTTTGTATGATCAGCCAATTATGGTGTACGTTTCTTCATAAATAATAGAAAAAAATATGATACAGTATATAATTTGGAATTTGGCTTCAAAATAAAAGGACAAGCTGTATCAGAAGATAATCTCTGCCCTGACCACTCTTCCCCTCCCGTCGACAAGGCCAGCATTCCCCAAACTACAGCTCAAACCGAGTTGATGTTCTATCTAAGTAATCCTGACTATCTCGCTAACCTTCCACAAAAGACTCTCTTTGGGGCGTGGCTTCATAAAAGTGTTGCAGATCTCTTGAAACTGAATGTCCCAATCACCCCAGACGAACCAATTAATGCCATTCCTCCTTGGCTGGATATATCAGTTCCTATTGATTACACTCCTGTTGGTAGTAAGCAAATGTTAAACACCGATGTGATGAGATGTGTAACACTAGAAACTATTAACAGACACATAGAGAGTATTAAATCAAGTGAATGTTATGCTGGAATCTACTTTGCAAGACTACCTTAAAGAAGATGGAGGTGGGGTGATATTTTGTGACTCAAAGTGTTTTGAAATCAATGAACAGCCCATCAGGTTCTACAGTATGTCTAAAGTTGTATGTGATATTAAAAGAAATGTGATAACTGTTAATGAGAACAACTTTCGTATCGAATTTGTGTGGATTCCGTCCCATGTTGGAATTAGGTATCATGACCGTGCTGATAAGACTGGCCAAAGAGGCATATAAGAAAGAAAATGTTGACCTTGATATTGGCCTGCCCAATGCTGTATTTAAAAACATTTGTCAGAATCAAGAACTCTTATCTAGAAGAACTGAGAAATGCAGAGACCTGGTAGTTGTAGCATTAGTAAATATGACAAATTTTGTGACGAGAGGTACCTGTATGGCCAGCATAAGGACAGAACCAGACAATGTGATGGAGTCGTGGCCAGAATCAGGGTAGGAAACATGACACATCTGGCAAGTTAGTAATGCTGTGCCCATACCAGAACACTCAGGCCACCTGGCTTATTGTATCATGAACTTTGTAATTACAATATTGAATTGGGGATGCTTGGGGATATTCTTGCTGTTTATCCCAAATTTGCTAGCCCACACTGATTAGTCTTCAATTAGAATGACGTCCAATGTATATGAACCACTGTCTTGCATGGCAGCGAACCATGACATCACCCACATGACTCTGACCTATATATACTGCTAATGAATGATGCATTTCTTTGTGTATGAATCTGTCCTGCATGGCAGTGTACAGTGACATTACCCACAGAATCTGAACTATATATACTGTCAATGAATATGATGTATTTCTGTGTGAACCTCTGTCCTACGTGGCAGTGAGAAGTGATACCACCCTCAGTGTCCAGACCTGACTGAATTACTCAGAATAGGCAAGCTGGACTCCAAGCTTTGTCAATATATTTGTTAAACTAAAAAAAACTAAGCATTCAACCTCACTTTTATTGATTTATTATTATTATATATTTTACTATGATCAGCCTTTCATAGCATATGTTTCATTGTAAATAACAAAATCAATAAAAAAAATAATTATTCATAATTTGTATTTTGACTAGAGAATAAAAAGATACTGTATGTTGTATCAAAGATGACACCTCACTTTATCTTCTCTCCCTCCCACAACATAGAAACCTAACAAAAAAAAAATTATGAAAAGCCATTTATGATGATGAGAAAGATATCAAAATTAAGTTATTTACTATATGTACTGTATAATTTATCCTTTTTATTTTAAAATACTCTAATAGAGACACTTGCTAGAGCATGACAGAGATCAAGGGTAGGTGAGAGTTTTTGGGGGATGGCTGGTACCTAACCTCCCGAATGTTATAGTCCTTATGGGATTTATTGCTTTGAAAACTGTTAATTCACTGTTAGTTGATTTTTTTGCAGTCTGCATTTGCATTGGTTATCAAGGTATACCTGTACTGTACTCCAATTGAAAAATAACATTGGCTTTCTATTGACTAAACAGGTGTAGAGGAAAAAATTAAAATGAAATTCATGTCAGAAAAACAACAAATTTGGGATGAAATGGAAAGAGTTTCTTCATAGGATAACTGATTGAAGGAGAAGAGACAGGAAGAGGACTAGGGGAGGAAAATGGCAAGAAATAAAGATGAAAGAAGATAAGCTATGGTGAAGGGAGGGAGAAATAGAATTAATGGAGCAGCTTGCCAAGATTTCAGTCATGTTGAGACACGAAGAGGACTTGTGCATAGCAACCACCCCCCCTATGGCACTTGCACATACAGTACATATTGGACATTAGTAAAGTAAAGAATAAAAATTTATAGTTTTTGTAAAATTGAAATATGCACTCTCTTACCCTTCTTTTCACTGGATTTAGCACTCACTTAGGCATGGTGACTGACATATTTGCTCACACACTGGGAGAATACAAAAAACCTGGGAGATCACAACAATGTGTGGTTAGGACTGCTGATTATTGCAGGCTAGCAGACACCCAACAGCAAATCTTTATTTTGTATTCTTCCTTTTAGATAAAAAAGCAAGTTAAAAAAAAAATTATTTATGCAAGGAGATATATATGATATGTAGAAAATAATATAGAAGGTAATACTTAACTGATATGATGGAGGAAATTGTTTATAAAGGGTACTCAAAGTAGTGATGGCAGAGCACAAATTTTGAATTTGTCAAAACTGTCAAATTAAAATGATGCAGTTGAAAATAGTAATTTATAATATATTAATTTAATAAAATGTACATAGGGAAAATAAATAAGATGTTTAATTTTTTATATATACTGTACTGTACAATATTCATCACCATACAAGATGATCATTTTGATTGGTGAGAATAAGTGGGAAAAGGAAACCTTCCCCTTAATGAAATTTTCCCAATAAAAGACAGGATTTGCACAAATGAGTGTTATTTGGGGGGAGGATGTAAAAATTTTTATTTTGCGGTCCTCTATTATTCGCAGATGACACTGGATGTACCCAGGAATGTCTGTGGGCAGTTTTAAAACTGCCAGCTTTTTTGCGGTTGGGAGAGAGTCATTTGTTCTAGAGACAGTAAGGCAGAAGCGAGAGTATGGGTGTTCTTGGTTCAGGGCAGGTGGAGGAGAGGTGAGGTATTGACCAGCCAGCAGGGAGTTTACTGACCCAGACATTATTATCAGTCATACAGAGGGAGTTTAAAATTTTAGTATATAAAATGTCACTGAATTAACATGGGAGAATATAACTTACATTGCTGGGATTCTTGTAAGTTAGTGATTAATTTGAATATTAAACATGCTATAATTTGCCATAGAAATTTTATTTAGTTATTATTTAGTGCATTTGAGTACAGTACAGGTTTGCCCTTAGGACAATTATTTCTTTTAATTTTCTCACAGTATGTATTTAGGATGGTGTGTGCATGTTTATGAGTAAAAATAAATGAAGAGAGTTACGTATATCTACCCAAAAATACGTGTTAAAAAACGTGTACTTAAATGTACTACACTATAGGACTAAAATTTTTATCTCTTGTGCAAAATATATGATGTCTATATTCAAATTATTCGCTGTCTTGCAAGGATTCCAGCAATGCAAGTTATATTCTGCTGAGACACAACTGATGCCTCACACCTGCGTGGGTCAAGCTTTGGACGCGTCGGCATCACTCTGGGTATGTCTTTTTAATAAATTTGTTTATTATTATTTGTGAGAGTATTTTCCCATTATTATTTATTTGTACAGTCTCTCCTCGACTTACGACAACCCGGACATATGACGGCCATGATAATATAAAAATATTTTTCACATTTCGTATTTTCGAGTCCCGAAGTTTGTGATCGCGCTGTGTACTGACAAATTTTTCGTTTGTAATTCCCTTTAAAATGGCTGGCAAGCATAAAAGTGAGAGTTCTCGTGGTGCTGAGAAGAAAAAGAGACACCCATTTTAGAATATCAAAGTATTATTTTCGCCTTTTCGGCTTGCAACCTGGTCGTCAGGACGGAACCCCATTGTAAGTCGAGGAGAGACTGTATATGTTTTGTGTGTGTGTCTACACACACACACTCACATATATACAATACAGGTAAAAGAAATAATTGTCCTAAAGGCAAACACAAAGGGAATATAAATTTTTTTGAACACAAGTAAAAATGTACCCCCCTCCCACCAGTCAGCAAATGTTATGAAATTTAGTTCAATTCTTAAGTGGAGAAGTGACATCTTTCAGGGGAAAGCCTTGACATTTGCTGTACCTAAAGGGTTAAGATTGGAAAAAGCTGTCGGAAGGATTAACAAAACTAAAACCAACTACTTGTGGAATCACAGTTTACTAGTGTGATCACTGGTGTTAAGCGAAGATGAACTTACAAAAGTTAAGCGACACTCGCTTTAAAAATTTTGCAAAATAATTAAACAATATTTTAGTTAAGTTGTTCTGATTAAGTAAAAAAAAAATCTTTGATTTTGGTCAAGTGCTTTCATTTCTAATACAAAATTTAAGAAATAACTATAATAGCCTAAAAAAAGTAAAAATTTTCACAAAGCCTTGAATGCACGCAACTGAACATTACTATTACTCTGATGCCTACTTTGAAGCCAACCCAGAAGATTCTTCTTTTTGGCATCCCTTACTCCAGATATCTGCTCCTCTGATGCCAACCTACATGGCATACTGGCTCTTAGACATCACATGCAGGAAGCAATCTCAGCTGAGAAGAGTGATGAAAACTTACACAAGACCAGACCAAAACACCAAAATATTCCAGCTTTGTGTATTTAACATGTTATTACCTACAAAGAATTTAAATGTATACAATTACATGCCAGCAAATTAATTCCAAAAGAGAACTGGATTAATCGGTACCAATATCTGGCTCCAACCAAAACTCTTTTAGATCAAATTCTCTCTGAACAAATTTTGATTAATATCATATAATGTTGAAAAGGCTGGCATTAACCCTTTAAGGTTCTCTACACAACCCCTAATATATATATATACAGATATGCCAACAAGTTTCTTATCTATCACCTGGAAAAATTTAGCGTATATACCTAAATTAAACCTCTTTTTATAAAGGAAATTCATCAGAATTACTTGGAACTCTACTCTGGGAAAATAACATGATTTCAGATCTGTTTCATGAAACTAATGCTGTTCATCAAATATGATGAAATACCAAGTCGACCTTTTCACTTTCATAAACTATAAGTGCTCACACTGGAAAATTTTACTACAGTGCATAGTTGTCTTTAGACTTACACCAGTCACTCACTTCCTACTTTTTTATGATCACAGAAACTTCTATTGCAAAGAAATTTCACAGAAATTTCATTTGTAATGAATTTTCAGTACCCTCTTAACTGTTCATAAATAGAGGATGACATTATATCAGTACTCAGGGTTTGAGGTTTTGTTTGTAACTCTTAACAGGTCAGAGGCATGATGACCTGAGTAAATTATTTTAAACCTTTTGAAAAATCCTGGCCCCCTAGAATGGAGAAATCACTTGCTCACACCAGTGTTAAACCAGCAAGAGAGGGCCAACACTGGTTTACATTTCTAGTGGCTGATTAGTCACAAGCTTTAATAAGATTCTCCCATGCCATGGGTGCAGATAATGATGCTTGGAATTTCCACCAAGAGGAGCACAAGATTACTGGGGTAGATTGTACTTCACGTAAGGAACTTCTACATCTTCTCCATCCTTATCATTTGCACAAAGTTCCAAAACTAAAGCTCGCACATGAGGTTCAATTTTCTTCTTGCTAACTTTCTTAACCACCTCTGACATTCTGAAATAAAACATTCATATTAGTTTTTACTGTAAGATAAAGCCAAGTGGTCCATATAATCTATTCCTAAACACCTGAAAAATGGTTACTGACTCTACATTTATGGATGTTTAAAGTCCATAGACCAATACTTTAAACTTATTTCGAAGGATTACTTGGAAATTACTGACTAGTCCACAAGTGAAGCATTCATTAGCTTCTTACTTCTTACTACTCCATTAGCATTTTTTCACTGTATCAAGCAGCTTTACTTCTGCTCCATAAATATTCTTCCTCTTCTATTTGTCAAATATTGTCCTTAAGTAACACGCTTTCTGGAACACAATGAAACTCAACAAAATATTTAGCTACTAAAGCTGCAAAATGCTTAGCTGCGTGTTTGAGAGGATAAATATAGAAATTGTAATTCCAGGTAAAAATTTGAAAGCACTGCTGTTGACGTACATCAATACACTCTTACCCCAATAGTTAAAATTAGTGAGTTTTATCTAGTACTGTACACATGCCAACTGTTCATTGGGGGAGCCCCTCAACCATTAAACAATTAATTTTGACTTACGGGAGAGCCATTCTCTCATTCCTCTTGGCAGGTGGCATAAAGAAGGAGTAAAGCATGGACACCCCCTGGCTCAGCATGGTAATCTCCAACTGATGCTTCTCCTCAAAGTATCTGATGAACTCTTCAAGAGTCATTTCACCATTGACCTCAAACCTGTCCCACAGTGTCCATTCCTTGTCATAGTACTGAAAAGAGAAATTTTGAAAAGGGCATCAACATAAAAGGAAAAGCAATACATAAATCTCATCTTCCTTAGATTTAAATTGTAAATATTTCACTCTCTAATTCAGCAACTTCCATTCTCTATTAACCCTTTGGACATGCTGTTTGACTGCAGTCAAATGAATCATGTATGCAATACCAATGAATGTAGTGTTAAGACTTTTTCCACGTCTCAAAAAAATGTGCCACTTCGCTGAAGCAGGTTTCAATTCTCCCTCTCATGTGTGACAGATGACAGACCCAGCAGGGCACATGTTATCGACCCACAACAGGGCCCAGGGGGCAAAAAAATAAAGAGTAAAGAGAAATTAAAAATAGAAGAGAAAACTGTATTAATCTACACCACAAAGATGCCAGAAAACCAGCTTTTTGAAGCGAGACAGATTGTATGAGTGTGGAAACAGAAGAAAGCAGAGCATTCCACAGTTTGATTGTGTGAGGAAAGAAGAATGTACTATAATGGGTTATTCTAGTGACCAACATCCACACAGAAACGGTGGGCACCGTGGGCAAGACAAGTGTTACGAGCCCATAGTTTTGCCAGTGATACACAGAATGCCAACTCCACTGAACATTACCCGTTAAAGTACCTATAAAAGAGAGAGAGAGTGAAGCAACATTGCAGCAAAGAGAAAGGAAGGAGAGATTATCAACTAAAGGAGGAGAATTAATAAGATGAAATGCCTTTGATTCCACCATATTTAACAGTTGGACAAAATGAGAGCCACCCCAGATATGAGAGCAGTACTCCAAGTTAGGGCAAATAAATCCCTTATATACTTGAAGCAACTGCTCAGTAGTGAAGTAGATACGGCATCTGTACAGCATTCCCAGCTTTCGGGAGGAAGCTAGAGCAATGTTGTGGATGTGTGGCTTCCATGACATATTAGAGGAAATGTTGAGGCCTAGTATATATCTGTTTTTGAATTTGGCAGAATGATTGCCCTGAAATGTGATTGGTGGGAGATCATCTAATTTGGAGTGTAATTGGTAAATACCGAGTTTTATTAATATTGAATTTAACCAAGTTTCAACCTCCCACATCTATATGTCCACATTTTTTTTTTACGTTATTTATCACAATGCATGAATAAATACCTATACAGCTACTCCCCAACTTATGACCTACTTGACCTACGACCTGTCTTAGTCAGTACGACCACCTGCACATATGACCGCCGCAGTCAGTACCAAAATTTTTTTCAAATGACGCGCGTATTTTCTATACCGAAACATTTCCGTCCCATACGAGACAGTCGCGTGGCTTGGATCGCCTCGTGCCTACAGCACCCACGCCGTAGAGCGCTTAGTTGGTGTTTGGCTGCCGTTGTATCCGCAACTGATCGCGCTGTGTACCAACATTATTTTCGTATTTAATTGACTTTAGAATGACTGGCAAGCATACAAGTGAGAGTGCTGGTGGTGCTCAGAAGAAAAGGAGACAGTAAATTACTTTTGAGACAAAAATGAAGATAATAATGCAGTATGAAAATGGAAAAACAGTAGCAACCATTTCATGCGACCTAGGCTTCTCGCACTCGACCATATCTACTATTTGGAAGGACAAGAAACATATTCGTGAGGTAGTTAAGGGATCAGCACCTATAAAGGGAACTATAATAACGAAGAAAAGACAAGGTCCCATTCATGAGATGGAAAACTACTTGTAATATGGATGGAAGACCAGATACAAAAGCATGTACCCTTAAGCCTTCTAACCCTACAGGCTAAGGCAAAAAGCCTTTTCAAAAGCCTGAAGGAGCAGGCAGGAGATGAGTGCGACCAAACCTTCACAGAAAGTCATGGGTGGTTCCGAAAGTTGAAGAACCGCTACTGTTTGCCTAGTGTAAAGGTGAGTGGAGAAGCAGCAAGTGCTGATGTGGGTGCTGCCGAAGCTTTTAAGGAGGAGCTGGATCATGCCATTGTGGAAGGAAATTATTGCCTGAGCAAATATTTAATGTGGATGAAACTGGATTATTATGGAATGGCATGCCTGAGCGGACATACATCCACAAAACGGCGAAAACAATGCCAGGATTCAAGGCATTCAAGGACCGAATTACACTTCTGTTGGGAGGGAATGTAGCTGGTTTCAAGATAAAGCCCTACATGATATATCAATCACTGCCAGTGTTTTATCGAAGTAACAAGAAAGCCTGGATGACCCTAGTATTGTTTGAGAATTGGTTCATGACTTGTTTCATTCCACGAGCCAAGGAGTATTGTCCGCAACAAGGGAATGCATTCGATTTTGTTAATTTTGGATAATGCTCCAGGACACCCACCACACCTGGACGACATGCACCCTGATGTTAAGGTAGTCTACAATTCCACCTAACACTACCTCTGTCATCCAACCCATGGATCAAGGTGCTATTATTTACGTACAACCTTCGCTCAGGCTGTTGCTGTTACTGAAGGTGAAAAAATGCTCAGACAGTTTTGGAAGGACTACAACATTTTGAAATGTATAAAGAACATTAGTGCAGCATGGGATGACATTACAGGACAGTGCATGAATGGAATATGGAAGAAAGTCCTGAAAAGATATGTGAACAGTTTCAGAGGATTTAATGAAGATGAAGTAATTTCTGAGATTAGTAACAAGATAGTGGAGGTGGGTAAACAGCTCGAGTTAGAAATTGATAATGAAGATGTTGAGCAGTTGGTTGAAAGTGTAGCAGAAGAGCTCAGTAACGAGGATCTTATCGAACTGGAAGCACAGAACAATGAAGAGGAAGAAGAGTCTAAATGTAGAAGAAGAACCTGCACCCCCCAAAAATTTTTCAGTGAAGCAAATGGCAGAGGCATTTGCTACAATTAATAAGGAGATGCAAATGTTTGACGGAATGGATCAAAATGTTGAGCGTTTTGCCAAAGTTGACAGAATGGTCGAAGATGCACTTGCTTGCTACAGGGAGATTTATAATGAAAAGAAAAAGCAAACTGTGCAATCTAAATTGGACATCTATTTTAAGAAGTCACCCATTGCTGTCTCCTCACGCCCCACCAGTGCTGCCTCTTAACTCCCCAAGATGATCCAAAACCTTCAACCAACAAGTTTCCCCCATTACATAAACCTGTCTGAAGAAAGCGACATTGATAACCCACCCAGCCATCTCCTCCTCTGCTTCACCCAATTAATGTAGTCTCCATATATACCTGAAATAGAAAATTATGGGGGCCCCGTGCGCATTCAGCTGACTACATTAAAGGGACATGTACAGTAACACTGTATCCATTCTTCATTATTGATTACTTTTACTGTACTGTATTTCATTTTAAATTTTATATGTACATGTATTATTTTTTGCATTTTCGAATTACGACCTGGATTTGGGTACCTTACCCCGTCGTAATTCGGGGAATAGCTGTATTATAATTACATACCCGGTAATACAGCAGGGTCTCGGAGTAAGTAAGGGTTATGTTCTGGGATCCCAGCGTAAGTGCAAATTCGCCTCTATTCAGGTCCCACCTGTATTTATACCAAGGTAACCAACTTGCATGGAAGCTACTCCTAAACTGCCAGCATAATTCTTATTCTTGTCACCCTTTCTTGTAATTCACTAGAATTACTATTTAAATCTCAGGGAAAGTCACAATCTTCTCTTATATCACTGTCACTGCATGAGGTGCCCTACAAGACCCATGGTCCAGCCATTACTAATGGACAAAAAGCTACACAAATATGCTCAAGTAAAGAGAGAGAGAGAGAGAGAGAGAGAAAGGGGATATCTGATTTGTTTTGCAATGACAATTGGTTAATGAAGTTGTCATATTTGGCTGTCATTTTTTTCAAGTCTGAATGAACTTAATTTGAAGCTACAAGGGAGAGGCAATAATTATTTTTTTTTTAATATTGTGAACAAGTCCAAACATTTAAAAAGGTCATTACTACTCTGGCAAGTCAGATTTCATGTTGATCACCCAAACTATTACATGTTCCAACACCAACAAATTGAAGAGAGCGTCAATAAATAAAATCTGAAATAATGAAATGTGCTACACAGTTACAGACCTCTGCTTTGTAAGCCAATTTAGTCACTATTTTCCAGAAGAGAAGTCTGAAATATTGAAAGAAAAAGCAATGGGTGAAAGATCCTTTTTCCTTTGAGAGTGAGTCCTATGAAAAGAGGCCAAGTTGTACATGGAAATAACTGAGCTGACATTACCATATGAATGTGCAGTGTTGACTCTGAATGCTTGGCAAAAACTATATACCTACTTGAAAGCAATAAAGCAATATGTGGGTTGAGATAAGAAATAAGGATATATGAAAGTGAAAGAAGTGTTGGATAAGAGTCTTCTCAAAGGAGCACAGTTTGGATAAACTCTACAGTACAAGTAAAATGTTAAGTTACACACCTGGGAAAAAATTTAACAATTTGTGGATGGAAAATGGTGTGAGAATGCACCAGAAATGAAGGAAATTGATGAAGTTTCATAAAGCCTCAATAAATTGGACTTCAATATATTGGAAATTGCTTTTATTGGACTCTCTGAGGTGCTTTGATCACCAGAAACACATACGGGGAGGTAGAGAATGTAATCAGGCTGGTGCTGATCAGATGCTGCCGCATTCGTCAGGTTTATTTATTTATTGATCCAGTATTATATTCTCATATGATTAACCTCTTATGGTTTATGGTTAATCAGGATTAATATAACATCTTCAATAATAGAGAAAAAATACAGTATATAATTTGTAATAAGACTTGAAAATAAAAGGATAAGCTGTATCAGATGGTATTCACTAAAGATGCGTTCGTGTGAGAGCTTTCAGCAAAGCAGCTTACAACAGGGGTCACTATAACATAATGTAAAGTATTTGATATGAAGATACCTTCCTAACAATGTTATTACCTTTGAGTGACACACGATGGCTACTTGTACTTAGACAACTGATTAATGAATAAACCAAGGTATATGCAAATGCACAATACAGTAATATTTCCGTTAGCCGGAACTGTCTGATAGCTGTCATTGAAATTTTCTTGGAAAATCGTTCCCAAAGCCAGAATTTTCCTAAAAATCCTGCCCTTCGGAACGATTTTCTGGAAAGTTCTGGGGTTTTTTTTTTCCGGCTTCGAGAGTCGTCTCGTTACACGGAAATCTCTCATTCCAGGAAGTGCTCTGCACCAATTCTTCCGGCTAACAGATATATCACTGTACTGTACACTACAATATTATTAAGTGATGATAAATACACTAAAATAGTATTTATTAAGTTATAATAAATACACGACTGTACTGTACTAATTTACTAAGTGCTGAAGACATGTTACAGTAAGCAGCTAAGCCTATCAGCTGTTTGCCATTTGTAAACATACGACTCATGGTGTTGTGTGGGATTCTTTTTTCAGGAAAATTTATTCTTTTAGGACAAAATCTTATCAACCTGGCACCAAATGAACTTAAATTATGGTGAAATTGCATAAAGACGTGTTAAAGGGATCTTGGGCGAGAGAGGGGGAGGGAGACACCCACCCGCGCTACCTCCCCTCCTCACCCAGCCGCCTGCTGCTCCCAGTCCCAGATATATTCATACACTCGCCTTCCACGTGGTACAATATACTCCTACACTTATTTTTATCTTTGTAGTATAGTTTTCTCTTCATTCACAAGACAAATTCTGTGGTTACTTGCATATAACACTTTACAGTAAATAATCTTCCGTGACAACCAGACATGTGTCTGAATTTCAACCCAGAGAGTTCCGATTCATAATTTTTTTTTATTATTGATGTAATATTCTTGTTATAACCTTGTTATACACTTAAAGACCTTAGTTGTTGAAGTGTAGTATTAACATAACTGATCTTCTCTAAGCAGTTCAGATAAGCAGTGTTATCTCCCCCCCCCCATAGATTTGCTTTTTAGGACTTTCCCATTTTTTGGAGTGAGGTCTGTTCCACTTAGTCCAATTTATCGAGGTTCTACTGTATCTAGGAAGCAAAGGTGCACATGAAAGAACAGAGTGAAAGATGTCAAATTACTTTTAGAAAGGAAATGCTACTGCTGGGTGAAGCTACATTGTGTTAAGTGACAAAAGGTAAACAGATGGATATCTGGAAACTGCATTGTAAATTGCGAGCATTACAGCCCAATACAGTAATAAAGTGACATCCCTGTTAGCCGGAACAATTGGTGCACAGCGCTTCCGTGGATGAGAGATTTCCAGCTAACCAGATGACTTCCTCAAACCTGGAAAAATTCCTTATCCCCGGAATCTTTTCCAGTTACTGGGAAAAGTTTCCGAGTATCTAAACTAGACATCTTGCACAGACAGACACTAGCCCACTTCCCCAGAATGTTTCTGGATGCTGGGGATGTTTTCCTCGAGTATCAACTACCGGAGTCCTTAAAGCACTTCTAATTAAGTTAGAAACATATCTTTACTATAATAATCCAGAATAGTTTCTCTAAAAGTTTAGCTAAATAATATAGTGGTCCCTCCATTAACGAGCACAATTGGTTCCACACAGTCACTCGTCAACTGAATCTATTATTTCAATGGGATATTGGAGAATTGGTTCCAACTCACTTTGAGGTGTGTATGTAGATTTTCGGTGGATTTGTTTACATACCGGCAGCGCAAACAGCTGATTGTAGACACAGTCGATGATGACATGCCATATTCTTTCCAGAGTGCATTGGTTCTCGTGCCTTCTTCGTATTTCTTAAAAATTTCTTGTTTCACTTGAATTGAAATCGCCTCCTGAGATTTCTTCGGACCCATGCTTGATAATTTCACCAAAAAAATTTAAAATTCACAATAATTTCTTTAACAAATTCCAGTTTTTTTTTTATTTAAACCACTGTATATTATAAATATGTTAACTAAATTCCAGAATGACCAATAATTTTTATGTAAAAATGCAAAAATATTGCAGAGCACAACTTTCTCAATGTTTAATCCAATGGAAACAAAGTTAAACAGAGAACCGATTATTGGTGGACGAGTCAATCAGTTGATGCGCGCACCAAAATGTGTTCCTCGTAAGGATGCCGTTAATAGAATTTGTACTCGTTAAAAGAACTGAAAGTCCTTACTGGAGGTAACACGTTAACTGAAATCTCGTAAATTTAACCGCTCGTTAATGGAGGGTCCACTGTTACAACAAAGACTTATTTTCCACTCCCATGGAGCTGTGGGGGATTAGTGGGTCTCCTGTAACTGACACAATGTCAGGGGTGGGTGGGGTATTAGTGGTCTCCTACTACTGACCTTCTGATGGAATGTCAGGTCACCCTTTCTTGGGTGGGCAATTAGTGGGTCTCATGACCTGAAGATATCTTGAATTAACACAAGATTGTGATAAATACAGATTAAATATAAAAGAGCAAAGTTGTATCTCTTCAACATTGTTACATAACATTTTAAAATATGGAGAGAAAGCAGAAAGGTGTGGGTGATTAAGAGTTTTTTGGAGTGGAAAGGAGTGTTGCCAAAAGTTCCTCAACAGCTAATATTTAACTCGCTATCATACAGTCACACACACATTTGAGTGAGGAATGAGGGGAGAAAACTCATTGCACGACCCTCCCAACACTACCTCCCACCGGCACCAGGCATCCGTGTGAATGCGTGGTAGAGTTAAATATCAGCTGTTGACCGATTGGTAGCACTCTTTTCCACTCCATCTCTCTAATCACCCACACCTTTCTGTTTTCTCACTCCATATTTTAAAATGTTACGTAACATAATGTTGAAGGGATACAACTTTGCTCATTTATACTTACACCACTCTCCCTAAAAATACTTCAGGTTTCCTGCTTATTCAAGACATCTTCAGGCCATGAGACCACTAATCCCCCACCATTACCTCCACCTGAATTTGCATCAAGTCAGGTCAGTTACATGAGACCCACTAATCCCCCATAGCGCCATGGGAGTGGAAAACACCAGTCTTTGTTCTAACGGCCATGAATGAGGCTTCATTCATGGCCATATCATATACATTTTTTATTTTTAAATATATTTAATTAAACTATTCTGGATTATTATAGTAAAGAAATGTTTCTAACTTAATTAGAATTGCTTTAAGGACTCCGGTAGTGTCCGTCTGTGCAAGATGTCTAGTTTAGACACTCAAACTTTTCCCAGTAAAACAGAAAAGATTCCGGGATAAGGAATTTTTCCAGGTTTGAGCAAGTCCACTTGTTAGCCGGAAATCTCTCATGCCCAGAAGTGCTCTGCACCAATTGTTCCGGCTAACGAGGATATCACTGTACATTTATTAATGGAGTAAAAATTAATGAATGAAAAATAAAAAAAATTGTGTGTAATGGTATTTTCTTCATTTCAGCTGCTGTGCATTGTAGCTGGAAAAGGTTTATAATTGTGAAATATACTTACTGGTATACATTAACTTAAAAATATATTCACACTAAGAATACTGTGAAAGGAAAACTGTGAACTTCGAGAATGCCAATTCAATCTCCACACTCTGGTATTAAGTTTTAACATAATAATTAGCATAATACAAAGACAACTCACAAGACAATATAAATGTGTTTGTTCCTATAACTTAACTCACCTTATTAGTTGGGGCTGGAATCGGTTCTGAGAAGCCAAAGAATGGCAGGGCCAGATTGACAAAACCATTCTTGAAGGTCTCTAGTTTATTGTGCCCCTGAACTAATTTGAGTAGCTCTAGACACACTAGGCCAGAGACCAGTGCTGTGGTGGTGGCAATGGCAGGGATAATCTTGCCAGCAATAAGTTTGCTCTTGTGGCGATCGGCAGGGGCAATGTCGTAGTTTTCTGCACGTAGATTGGATGCAGCAACAATGAAATCCATGTGGAAGTTTGTGTCATCATCCTTTTCAAAATCCAAAGGAGATAACTTAAGAGTACCAAAACTGGATGCAGCTGGGATAGCTGCCTGAAGGTTTGAAATTCGTTCACTATCTACTTGATTACTCTGAGCCTCTGCTTCAGCATCTGTAACAGCAATCTTAACACCTGATCTGGGAACAAACTCTGGAATATGAATTTTATTAACAATGTCAGCAATCATTTGCCGATCATGCACCTTAGTTAGGCCATAAACCTCCGCTTTCAAATTGGCAGCTGCAACAATATAATCAAGGTTTAAGTCATAACTGGCATCAAATGCAAGTGCATGAGGACATCTCTTCGGACCTGACCAGAAAGGTTCCCCACTGGAAGTGGTTTGGTCTTTTGGGAAGTTATGAAGAAGTTGTACTATCTGATTATGAAATTGTTCAGCAAAATGTTTACGGGCCCAAAGTACACAATCCTCAAATGACCGTGGTCGATCATCCACCAGAGCACGCTTAACACTGTCCAGTGTTTCCATGGGCTGTGAGCCTGGTAACTTCAAGGCCCTTTCCATAAAACGGGGATCTTGTAGGTACTGAGCTGCATTTTCAGCAGCTTGTCGAAACTCTCCCTCAAACATATCACGTGCCCACTGGAGGGTGTGCTCAATGGCATTGGGGAAGTTCTTTAGAGTACAAATGGGAATGGATTTCTCTGGAGGATCTTGTGATGAGCCATATGACTCAGTCAAATGTGGTACCACAACTTGAACATTACCTTTAGTGCCCAAAGTACCAGATTCTAAAAGAGGCTTACGATAGTAAACACAACGTCTGTCCATGTACAAACGAGCTTCCACATTATCCAGAGCATTTGCTACCCCGTTAAGGGGTTCAAAGAAACTGTCATCATACACACTTTCAGTTTCAGGACCAACTCTGTTCTGATGGGCAATAATGTTAACCTCAGGATTCATTTTCTTTACTGCTGCAGCAGCAGTATCTGACTTAGGTTTTTGGACATCCCATGGACGGAAAAGGAATTGCCTATTCAAGTTACTTTTCTCAATTAGATCCATGTCAGTAACTACAATCTGACCCCCCTCACCAGCACCTAGTCCCAACATGGCAACATTCTTCAATAGTTCACACCCAATGGCACCAGCACCAACCACAAAGTATTTTTGGCCACCTAACTTCTTTTGAAATTCTTGCCCAAAGATAGCAATTTGAGTATCATATCGACTGCCAGTTGGGGCACAAGCTGCTTCGCTGAGAGCAGACGTGTCTTCAGGTAGGCACTCAAGAGCATCAAAATACAGCCATTGTTTAACTGGGCTGAATTTTCCAGAACATGCCTTCATCACCTCCTGTGCCACAACACCACCAATAACAGCATCAATGGGAACAAAGCCTCCAGCAGAAATCTTGGCAAACTGCTTTATGAGTTCTTCATCAAAGTCTTCCACCTTTGCAGGGCTAGCTGAATTTATCTCCTTAAAAAGATTCAGGAACGAAGCAGCATCGCCATCACTCCATGGCTTGGGGGCTGACCCATTCTGCTTCACATAAGCATGCAAAGTCTGGAAAGCAATGTGTAGTATTCCAGGGCGATCAAATTTACCAAAATCTGTCATCACAAATTCTGGTTCTTTCATGGACTCTTCTAAAGACTTGAAATTTACTTTCTGGGGCATTTTCACCTGAGTGACAATACCCCCACGAATGTAGCCTGAGTACTGGGTAGTATCACCAATGCTAAAGGTGAATGGTCCCAACACCTGTTGAAATAAAAATGAAATAGTAAAATTATCTTCACTTTATTTTACATTAACAAATTAATGGTACAGCTTTCATTTCAACTAAAATCACAAAACAAACAATATCAATGTATGTAGGATCATATTACTATATGACTAAATATCAAGATGGACCTAGGTATGCTGAATCAAATATAGTATACACTTTACAATATGGTAATCTCACCTTAATCTTGAGAGGCTTGCAACCATTAAGTTCTGTCATCCCTTGCACTTCAGAAAATGTGACATAATTCCCATCCTCAAGTCCATGACGGGATTCATCCAGACATGTGACTACACTGTTCTCCTATAAAAAATCAAAAAGAAAAAAAGAGAAATTCAGCTATATTACTATTACGATTCAATCACTGCCAAATCATGATAATAACTGGGTACACAATTGTAAATATACGAAATCTGCATCAAACCTTATTCGTGTGCCATATCATAACACAGATGATGCTAAATTATAATTAGGTCAAGAATAACACTGTGAGAGGTTGTAATAGATGACCTTACAGGGGCAAATCCAGGAAAATCAAAGGGGGGGGGGGGCTAAAAGGTGTGGTTGGGGGAACATGGCAAGCACAGCGGGCCCATCCAGCTGGGGGTTAGGAGGGTGCTGTAAAGCCCCCCCCCTTTTTTTAATCTGACTAATATTACAGGCATTTTGAGGCCATGTGCACTTAATATTAGGAGACAAGAACTTGATAGAGGCTGCAAGAGACTGCACAGTATGGATAACTGCCATCAGGTCATCGAGGCTAACCCACACAAGCATTGCAAATGGTTAAAAACAATCATGATGATGGTACTATAGTACTGTACTAACATATACAGTATATGTTATACTGTACAGATATCTGGACTGATCAGCTGCAGACTACTGATATGTATTGAAAATGACTGAAGGCAGTTAGGTTTCCAAGTGGTATTCTGTATATTTAAAGTTGTACACAAGATGAAACTTCAAAATATTCAGTAAATCCCTACAAGTAAGGTACTATATTTTATTCATCAAAACTGGATTTATTATTTAGAGGATAATGTTTTAACTTTATTGAGAAGCTGCATGTTTATTGGGGTGGGATGCACTATGAATGTGTGAGGGCAGTGGCAACAATCCTACTTGTACCTCAACTAAAAAAATATTGAACTACCCTGAGATATTGAATTAGTCAGGGTTCAGTGTGCTCATGGGGGTTATGAATATTACAGCCTTCTTTCCTGTGTATTGTACAGTAGAGTCTTTACAGAGGTCTACTGTATAGATATTCTCAAAGTTAGGTAATTGAGCCATATTAATATTATAATACATGCATTATAAGGCTTAAATGCATAGAAATGTACTCTGATTCAGTGAGACTGTAGGATCAAACATGTCATGAATGACATACTGGGTGTCTGAAAAGTGTATGATTGGTAGTTGTGAGGGATGGTGAGGCTCTCTCTCTCTCCCCAATATCAAATACACCATCAAATTCAGCATAATAAGCAGCTTCAGGTTCAGTAACAGTTTCAGCAACAGCTTTATGGAAAGCTACAGCTTCAGCCAGAGTTGAACCTGATGACTTTGTCATCGGAGTAAAAACTCTGTCCTGATGTTTTAGAAAAAACTTTACCACCATTGGTGAGCAGAAATTTTGTTTTACATTCGTAAGTATTATTTAAACTATACAGGTAGTCCTCAACCTACGACCACCCAGACATACGACCGCCGCAGTCATATATAAAAATTTTTCAAATTACGTATTTTAGAGTCCCGATGTTAGTGATCGGGCTGTGTACAGACAAAATTTTTGTTTGTAATTCCCTTTAAAATGGCTGGTAAGCGTAAAAGTGAGAGTTATCATGGTGCTGAGAAGAAAAAGAGACACCCATTTTAGATTTTCTATGTATTATTTTCACATTTTCGACTTACGACCTGGTCATCGGCCCCTAACCCCATCGTAAGTCGAGGACTGACTGTATATGAACAGAAAATAAGTGTTGCTTTCATATTCTCATGTAGAGAAATGACGATATGGTTAGCTACTTCTATTGTTCCATTTATTAACATTAAATAACATTACTTAAAACATACAAATTCATTTTTTTTACATTAAGTTCACTACAGCTACAACCAGGGTCTTATTTTCTTCAGTTTCTTATATAGAACCAGCGTCACTCACAAAACCAATGCCATCTTGTCTCCTCTTGTGTGTTTTAATATTCTACGTATTATTAATGAATTGTATTGTTCGTTTTGCATATATAAACATTAATTCAATCAAATACATATTCAGTAATAAACAATAATGAATCTTTTATACACATTCTTAAGATGAATGACTGTTTCCTCGAGTGCGCACGTACCGTATACATTGGCGTTCCACTATCAGTCTCACCTTTTCTTTAATATCAGTGGTTACTTCTACTGTACATTAAATAACATTAATTAAAACACATATTTTTTACATTAATTTTACTACAACAACAACCAGGGTCTTATTTTCTTCAGTTTCAGGTGGATAACTGACATTATGGGTGTAAACTGACAACAACAATGCCGTCTATTATCCTCTTGTGTGTTTTAATATTCCACATACGGTATTATTAATGAATTGTATTGTTCATTTCGCATACACAGGTAACTCGCGTTTGATTCAAGCATTTTTTTGGAATAACCCGATTGTTCAATTAATACCAAAAGCTAATTTACGCACACCTATTGTTGAAATAACGCACTCAAGATGGTTTAAATTTGCCGTGCGTATTCGCCTGGTCGCCTGGCAGTGGAGTCGCGTGTGATGCCTGGTGAGGTGCTTGTAAGTTACAGGTACTCCCCGACTTACGACGGGGTTAGGGACCGACATCCAGGTCGTAAGTCGAAATGATCTTAAGTTGAAAATGCTTAAATAATACATAGAAAATCTAAAATGGGTGTCTTTTTTTCTTCTCAGCACCACAAAACTCTCACTTTTAAGCTTGCCAGCCATTTTAAAGTGAATTACAAAAGAAAATTTTGTCTGTACTGACGTTGGGACTCGAAAATACGTAATTTGACAAAATTTCGATATGACCGAGGCAGGTCGTAAGTGCAGGTGGTCGTAAGTTGGGGAGGAGCTGTACTTAAAACATATACAATACTGTATATTAATTTTTTTTTACATTAATTTTACTTCAGCTACAACCAGGGTCTAATTTTCTTCATTTTCTTTTGTAGAACCACCACCCCGGACTCCCAAGTTTAAACACTAACGAAAACAATGGCATCCCATCTCCTCTTGTGTGACCATATTATTCTTCATTTATATTGTATAAGGTGCACTTTCTGGGCACTGGAAAATTTTCTTGGGATTTTCCAGAAAATGTGCCCCTCGGATAATTGTTCCCAATCCAGAATTTTTTTTAAACTCCAGCTTTGGGAAAGATTTTCTGAGAAACATTAAATTCCGGCTATAGGAGACTTCTGGTTAAGAGGGATTCCGGCGAACGGAGATATTACTTTGTGCGTGTGCGTAAATAAATAAATAAAAAAATCATCCTACAAGTCCACGCCATTTCACAATAAAAAAAAACAATAATTCTGCACTGCCACAGTCAACAATAGAACACTTCATCTGGAGGTAGAGAAGAGTTGCAAAAGCCTCATTTTGCTGGAATTACAGTAAACCCTCGATAACTCGAAATTTCGTATAATTCGGCATGGATATGGTCTCGGAATGTATTATAGTATAACTTGGGGAAATGCCAAGAAATATAAAATTCTCGGGGCAAATCTTGGCATATCTGGCCACCTGCATCGCCTACCATGGCTGTGACACCTACCATGTTGGTGTCACTTACCATGATGCTTCAATCTTTACCTTCAGTGCTGGTAAATGTTACTTTTTTTACATTTAGTAATTACAGCTGCTCCTCGACTGACAACGGGATTAAGGACCCAAATCCAGGTCGTAAGTCGAAAATGCTTAAATAATACATAGAAAATCTACAATGGATGTCTCTTTTTCTTCTCAGCACCACAAAACTCTCACTTTTAAGCTCGCCAGCCATTTTAAAGTGAATTACAAACGAAAAAAATTTCAGTACACAGCGCAATCACTAACGTTGGGACTCGAAAATGTGTAATTTGACAAAATTTTGGTACGACTGAGGCGGTCGTATGTCGAGTATGTCGTAAGTCGAGGAGTAGCTGTACATGTACGCATATATGGGTCGATAATTTTCTATTGTTGTATTTTTGTAGGAGGGGGAAAATGCCTCGATAAGTCGGAATTTGGGATAACTGTGCAAGGCCGGAGCGCCATATGTGCCGAGTTATTGAGGACTTACTGTACTTATGTTCCATCTGATTAAATGAAATAATTAATCTGATATTGCATCATACAACCATACTGTTCAGTAGCCTCACTGATGAATGACTATAAAACTAACAATAAAATGCAGTGATTAAAGGAAGAAGATCTTACCTCTTTGGTTATTCCAGCAACCATGGCAGACACAGGATTCTCACCATTTGCATCTACTACTTCAAAGTTCTCACCGAAGTCACAGAAAATTTGGCCAAATAAGCCCTTCGTTGAGGCCACAATGAAAGCAATATCATTGGCGTGGCAAAAGGATGACACTTGTAGCTGCTCCTCCAGCGACGAGTCTGAATATAAATCATTGGTTAATATAAATAGCAAACCTACCGGTTCAGCTTACATTCTTGCACCCCTCATGATGTAGTTTTTTTTAAAAAATCTCCGCAATGAGAAGAAATACAATAGTTTAGTTTAGAGAGGTCCCTCCCCAAACTTTGCTTTTATTCGTATTTTAGGTAATGGTGTAAAGTCTATACAGGTGCTCCTCTACTTACGAATGAGTTACGTTTCTGAGGCTTGTTTTAAGTCCAACTTTACTCTTGAGATACCAAACATATTGTAAAAACTGAAAAGGTTATGGATATTTAGTACAGCTATACCCTTTAATACAGCCTTAAAGCCTGGATCACTCTTCTCCTCTTAGGTAATGTTTGTTCTATCTGGAATTTTCTTCAAAATCATCCAGTCTCATCCACATTAAACACCTGTTCTGGCAGGTAACCCTCCCTCAGTGATGATGTTTGTATCTCTGAAAGTTTGTAAGTTGAACGTTCGTAAGTAGAGGAGCATCTGTACTGTCAAGGACTTAACATAATATACTGCTTATTTAAAATATAAAACAACATAACATAAAACACAGAAGAAAACAGTACAGGATAAGAAAGGCATAACAGTACAGCCCCCCCCCCCCCCCAAATTTGGGGTGTGTGTGTGCTGCTTACCAACCGTCTCCACTCTTTCCTGGAGAATATATGGGAAAAGGAGGAAATCCCCCAAGCTCTTAAAGACGCCTCCATTGTCAATATTTATAAAAACAAGGGAGACCTTTCAGACGGTGGCAACTACCGTGGGATCTCGCTGCTCTCCTTAGCTGGCAAAACTATCACCCAAGTCATCCTAAACAGACTTCTTCCCGAGGCGGAAAATTTCCTTCCAGAATCTCAATGTGGTTTTAGACCATCACGTGATCTTCGTTGCCTGTCAGATACAGGAAAAGTGCAGAGAACAGCGTCGTGACCTGTACATGGCTTTCATCAAACTAACCAAGGCCTTCAACTCGGTCTACAGGGAAGCCCTCTGGTGGACCCTCAGCCATCTTGGCTGCACACCAAAATTCATAGCCAATAAGAAGCAACTCCACGATGGCATGAACGACAATGTCCTGCACAACGGCACCCAGTCAGAGTTCTTCCCCATCCAAACAGGGTTAAATAAGGGTGTGTACTGGCACCAACTCTCTCTTCAATTTTCTTGGCTGCCTTCCTTACTCGTGCCAGTGCCAATTTAGCCAGAGGTATGAGCATCAAGTACCGGGTGAAGGGGGGCCTTTTCAACATAAGACTACTCCAGGCAAGAACACCTAAGCTGACGCGTATGCACACTTCGGCCTTGAGGTGAATGTACGTAAGACTCGGATTCTCTTTCAACCTGCCCCTGGTTTCGGACACACCGCCACCATCCATCCAGCTTAACGGTACTACCCTCTCTAATGTTACCCACTTTCGGCATCTCGGCTCCCACCTGTCCACCACCGCAGATATCGATGAGGAGATTCAGCATCGGAACAGATGTGTATTTCAAGCTTTTGGCAGACTCCGAAACCGTGTAGGGAGTTGAAATTATCTACAAAGCTGCATGTATATCGAGCAGTGGTCCTCCCCACCCTGCTATATGGCAGTGAGACATGGGTCACATACAGGAGGCACCTCAAGGCACTTGAAAACTTTCACCAACGTAGCCTACGTTCCATCCTCCGAGTTCTATGGGAAGACAAGAGAACAACTGCCAGTATTCTTGCCGACACCAACTGTAGGAGCATCAAGGCTACCACTATCCATGGACAACTATGTTGGACTGGCCATGTTACCCAAATGGACAACAGTAGACTGCCAAAGCAGTTACTTTACAGTAACCTAACGATTAGTAAACGTAATGCAGGTGGGCAATTGAAAAGGTATAAGGATAGTCTTATGACAAATCTGAAAAGTGCCAAATCGACCCCCTCACCTGGGAGTCGATTACTCCACATCGTAACGCTTGGAGGAGAACCGCACGAGAAGGTGTCAATACTTTCGAGTTAGCCCGACTGCAAACCGAGGCAGACAAGCGCCAACGCTGGAAAGACGCTGCCACCACCCCTCCTGCAGTAGATGGAGCCCTCCACCTGTGCAATGAATGTGAACGACGCTGTGGGTCCCATATTGGACTCTTTAGTCACCGCAAAACTCACCAACCTAGGTGACATCCCTAATAACGCATATCATTGTATCATAGCTGGATGATGGTCATACTCGATTGCGAGTGACAGCAAAGTAGTAGGTAGGTGGGTAGGTAGGTGGGTAGGTGGGTGGGTGGGTGGGTTTCCAGCCTCACAACTGTTGTAAAAGATAATGGTGCAAATTAAGGAAAATGCAACAGGTTCCAAGCTAATAAAGCCAATAAATATTGCATACAAGTTTGTCATCCTTCTTGTCTTCTAATGAAGACTCCATCCCCCTCTCGTGTCACCAACTTCCGATGTCAGTCATCAATTAGATCTAAGGTAACGTGGCTTATTTCATCAAATAATTCATAATTATTTAAAACAGTAAACCCTTACTATTTGCAGGGATTAGGTTCCAAGGAATGGTGCAAATTGGCAAAGCCACGAATAGCAACTTAACCTTGATGCACTACTGTATACCTATACTGTGTATGAGAAACTTAAGTCACCAATACTAATCTCCTTCATATGTGAATTTTGGAGCTCGTAGAAGTGTACTGCACAGTAGGATAAAATCTAGTTACTGAAGCACAGGGAGATCATCAGGATCATTGTTGCAAGAGGGTGATGCAGTAGTGGTCGGTAGAAAAGCACATGGCAAGGAGGTAGGTGAACAGTTGACCAAGTAGGTGAGGGAGACAATTCAGCTGGGTGAGCAGCTGGTTCTTTCTTGAAAAAACATCATGATTGGTAATTGTTTCCTCATGGCTTTGAGGTCTCAACCGTTTCACTCCATTAGCACAGACACTAGGTAGTCTTTTAGGGGCCTTTTCATGAAGAAACACTAAAGTTTCGAGTACAACACAAGACATATTCCGTCGCAGGCAATGGTCGAGCACAAATAAAGGGAGGAGGGAGAGAACACACCGTGGGTGTGTGGGGGCAACTTGTTGCGCTGCAGGAGAGGCTCGCAAGCTAACTCCCATCTGGTTACCACAAAGTCGAAATCGCAAACAGCAAGAGTTTACTGTACTGTATATGCATTTTATTTTACAGTACAGTACTATATTATTTATAATACCAATTTATTCATTTATGTTTAGATAACACACACACACACACAATGTACACAGTAGTTATAAATAAAAGCACTAACACTCTCACCTACACTTATTCTTACCTGTAAGAACAACCACACTATAGTTTTTGAGTAAGTCATCTGTGAGGGAGCTAGTTGATGTTGTGATGGGAACGTAGGTATTAAGTTCAGCTAGCCTGCGGTGGCATGTTGTGGCTCGGTTGGCACCAATATCAACTGCAGTCAGGAAGAACTGAGTGCTCAGATCAGTAATGCTTGCATCCTTGATGTCGTGGAGTGTTACTGATTTTACACCTCCCAAAATCAAATTTTTGGCAATCTGTAGGTAAAATATATAATGTTACATATAAATATACTGATACTAATTTAGGAAACACTCAAAATTCCTTAAGCAATAGCAAAACCCTTTGTCTTGGACATTTCCACCTTTATTCATCTCCTATGATGAATTTTCACCTTTTTATTGTGATTTTTAGCTACACATTAAAGTAATGACAGGCAGCCCTCTTATAACAGAGATCTGCCTAACATATTTATTTTAAAGACATACAGTGGTCCCTCGGTTAACGAGCACAAGTTCCAGCAGGTTGCTCGTTAACCGAAAACTCGTTAACCGAAACCACTGTTTCAATGGGTTTTTGGGTAATTGGTTCCAGCTCACCGAAAATTTCCTAAATTCAACAAAAAATGTAGAAAAGTACACTTACTTTGAGGTGTGTATGTAGAAGGCTCCTGGATGATGATGATGATGATGATGATGATGATGATGATGATGATGATGATGATGATGATGATGATGGGAATTAGAATGGGGGTGGAGGAAAAGGAAGAAGAGAAGGCATTGGGGTGGAAGAGAAGTCACCCCATGGCACCATTTCACCCATAAAATTTTAGTTCTCTTGGTGTATTTCAAGATTATTTTCTTTAAATCAACACTGCACTACATTATATATTGTCAATATGTAAAATATATTTCAAAATGACCAATAATTTGCTTGGAAACACAGAAAAAAAGCATTTAGTTGAAGAGTCTCAAGCAAGATGTTACCTCCACTGAAAACAGAGAGAGACTAACACCTGTCTGGTGTGTTAACAGGCTGGATGGCACGCCAGAAACTAGTTTCTTTACCTTCAATTATGTTCAATAATTGTTAAAATGACTAAAAAAGTTAATATTAAACTTCTAAAATTATTGAATAGTATAAACTTCTTGATATCTACTAAAATAGTAAGGAATTTAAGCCCTAAAACCGATTACTGTATTGGCGGACCGCCAAATGCAAGCGAAAACATGTTGAAGTAGGCTCGTAAAAAAACTCGTTAATCGAGGGATTGCTCATTAACCGAAGTTAAGAATCTTATGGAAGGTAAATCGTTAACCGAGGGACCACTATAAGTGCATTTTTCAATACACCTCCAGCTAATTTGTTGAGACAAGGTAAAATGCATAAATTCAAGCCACACAATTCAGGGAGTGTATACTGTATGGATGGGTGATTATGAACATTCTTAATTATGAGACCATTCAAAAGGCAGATGTGGTTGTAAGGAAGAGTCAGTAATCATTCTAGTTATAAGGCTTGTCATTTCTGGTGGTAGCAACAGCAGCATACATCATAATTATATTAAAAAATCTGACAAGACGTCAAGCTTTATACAAAAATGTTAAAATGTATGGTGTAGATACTACGGTGATAAATTATACCAACACCACCACAGAAGCTCACCACCACTTCTTTCCCGAGAAGTCCGTCAGATCACACCCAGCTGACTTGTCCTGGATCACACCTCGGATCAAATGACTTATACACCTGCGAAGGGTCCCTTCACAACCAAGTCATCAGTGAAATACACACTGCAAAGTAGTCTCACTACCTAATGAAGTTGCAACACCAGTCAGTGGCATGGTAAGCTTAAAGAACTGTGTGGACTAAACAATAAGACGCACCCCCTCCCCTTCCTTATTCATCTCACTAATGTTGACAAAGCTGAGCAATCAAACAACCATTTCGCAGCTTCCCCGGCTTGACACAACCAGTCTCCCTGCTTACCTACCAGCTCCTTTTCCCACTGACTTAGTAGAAGAAATTGAAGTAGCAAAACGTCTGGACAAACTGAAGTTCAAGCGCTCCACCACCCCCATTGACTTACCAATGAAACTCTACAAAGAGTCCTCCCCGGAACTAGCTAAACCCCTCTGCTCCATCATCAATGCTTCCCTCATATATGTCACCAGTGCCCAAGTCAACCAACCCATAATCCTTAAATGATCTACGACTCATTGCCATCACCCCAATACCCAGCTTACTCTACAAAAATTTAGTGTTTGACTGAGCTTATGATGATATTGCAGGCACCAGAGATCCTCAACAATTCTCCATATGAAAACTTCCTCCACCACTCACTAACTTGTATGCTTTCTCGACTACATATACCGCCATCTGGAAAAACCTTGGGTTTCAGAGAAGTCTTACATGGCTTACAGACTTCCTCAGCGACCAACGCCAAGCTGTACGCTTCTGAGGGGGTGTCTCCACTTTTCAGTCACTCACATGTGCCGTCTCCCAATGAACCAAGATGGAACCGATCTGCTTCCTTATGCTTATTAATGATGCTCTAAGAAAAACCTCTGCTTGCTGGAAATATGTCGACGACTCCATTGGGATCAGTGTCAACATCTCGGTTCTCAACTACACTACCCTCCAGGATTTATTGAAAAGTCTTCAAAATTGGGCCAACAACAACCACGTCACCGTCAACCATATGAACACCATGGGTATGCGCATCAACCTCTCCTCTAACCTTGTCCCACCTCCCTCCATTACTTTAGGCCCCAACACACTCCAGGTTGTGGACTCCACTATGCTCCTCGGCATTACTATTGATAAACTAAACTGGAAAACACACGTCAGCACAGTTGTCAAATCATCCAGTTTTCGTCTCCAACTCCTTCGCTGATTCAAGTCCCTCGGAGTTCCTGCGCTCGAGCTCCTCAGTGTTTACTCAACATTCATACTTTCCGAGCTCACGTATGCCTCCCCTGCCTGGTCTTCCTCCCTAAATGCCACACAATGTAAACACCTAGAAAGTGCAAAAGAGGGCATAAAGATTATTCTCTCCCCTTCCTACTCAACATACCAAAAAGTGCTCGACACTCTGACCCTCTCAGCTCTCTCTGACCATCACCACGACCTCATCTGCAAATTTGGTGAGAAGCTTCTGCACCATCCTCGACACCGGCTCCTACTTCCACCCGAGATCTCTCCTCCGTGAACTGCTGTTCGACACCACAACCGCATCCAGCCCCTATGAGCATGTACTGATTGCTATAAGAACAGCCCAGTCCCAAATCATTGTAAAAATTATCAACAACTTTTAATCAACCAGTGTGTTCACTCCCAGCCTTTTGCACTGTCACTATGTTGGAATGCCCTGTAGTATAACCTTCTCCCCACCTTGCTATTATATATCATTTTTGCATCACTTTGCTATTATATATCATTTTTGCATCACTTATGTTACTTGTATATTATTTGTCAATCAAGTAACCCATTCCCCAATTAAGTAACTGTATATTTTCAGCCTTCCGGCTGCCATACTCCTTCAATACAGTGGTCCCTCGGTTAACGAGCGCCTCGGTTAACGATTTACCTTCCATAAGATTCTTAACTTCGGTTAACGAGCAATCCCTCGATTAACGAGTTTTTTACGAGCCGACTTCAACATGTTTTCGCTTGCATTTGGCAGTCCACCAGCTGTAGTATTAGTCCGCCAATACAGTAATCGGTTTTAGGGTTTAAGTTCCTTACTATTTTAGTAAATATCAAGAAGTTTATACTATTCAATAATTTTAAAAGTTTAATATTAACTTTTTTAGTCATTTTAACAATTATTGAGCATAATTGAAGGTAAAGAAACTAGTTTCTGGCGTGCCATCCAGCCTGTTAACACACCAGACAGGCATTAGTCTTTCTCTGTTTTCACTGGAGGTAACATCTTGCTTGAGACTCTCTTCAACTAAATGCTTTTTTTCTGTGTTTCCAAGCAAATTATTGGTCATTTTGAAATATATTTTACATATTGACAATATATAATGCAGTGCAGTGTTGATTTAAAGAAAATAATCTTGAATTACACCAAGAGAGCTAAAATTTTATGGGCGAAATGGCACCATGGGGTGACTTCTCTTCCACCCGAATGCCTTCTCTTCTTCCTTCTCCTCCACCCCCATTCTAATTCCCATCATCATCATCATCCAGGAGCCTTCTACATACACACCTCAAAGTAAGTGTACTTTTCTACCTTTTTTGTTGAATTTAGACAATTTTCGGTGAGCTGGAACCAATTATCCAAAAACCCATTGAAACAATGGTTTCGGTTAACGAGTTTTTCGGTTAAAGAGCAACCTGCTGGAACGAATTGTGCTCGTTAACCGAGGGACCACTATAAACCATTTACAGTCATCCCTTGGTTATCACGCCTAATTGGGACCACACCGAGTGCGTGATAACGAAAAACGCGATAACGAAAGTACAGAACCTATGGGATTTATTCTAATTGGTTCCAGGCATCCAAGACCCAAACCCAACTTTCCCATTTTTCGACTATTTTGACCCACTAAATATATATATAATGTTATGATAAATATCAGAAACACACATAAGCATGGCTAGGTTGATTACAAAGTGATGAAAACGGTACGCTCAATACTGTAGTCCACAAAACATGTAGCTATGCTTTCTTTATTTGGTCTCCATCATAGGAGTCCGTTTTCTCTCGCTTCAAGACGCCTGAGTCCTCCGTTTTTCTCAATCTTAGAGTGCACCAGAGACTTCGTTATTCCTTAGTAATGACACAATTTGAAATTGCAACCCCAATTTGCAATTGTTGAGGCAACTAGATATGTCTAATTACAGCAAATGTGTTATTGTCAATTTGTAGGTGAAAGATTTTATCCTCAATAGATGTAGGTGAACCAAGGGGTTAACATTACACATGGAGGCAAATGCGTGATGACCAAATTCTCGGCCTGAAAAATGTGCTATAACAGCAGGTGTGCAGATTTTGATGGAGGCGTGATAACGAAAATCGCGATAACCAAGTGCGCTATAACCAAGGGATGACTGTATTATTATTATTACTATTATTATTATTACAAATGCACACATGAGAGGTGATCATAAAGTTCCAAGTCTTAGCCTTTATTTTAAATAATTTTGTACTGTACATACAACATTTTTATCAGTAAGCCCCTTCAAAGTAATCTCCCTCTAGCCTCTGATGATATGCAAGTGTCCCAACACTCCTGCCACTGTTAGAAGTCTTCAACTTTCACATTATCTTGAATGGTTGGAATGACATTAAATCTTCTACTTTTCAGCTTCATTTTGATAACAGGAAAAAATATCACTTGGGTCAAGGTCAGGAGAATACCCTCCATAGGTAGTAGGCAGCTATCAAACAGGGAGGTACTACCGCCTGGGAAGATATTGGAAGCATAATGTGTTGTCTAATGGTAGACCCTGCTGCCATATGGCATCACAAAAATTGTGACCAAGTCCCAGGTTGCTGATCTGACTTTCTGCCACATTTACACACAATTGCAGGGTTTCAATTGTTTCTCTTACTTTAACAACACAACGTACATATATTGTTTCTCACTCTTGATTTTGTTTTCATTTTTGTATTTATATTATTAATTTCATTTACTATGAATTATTATTATTATTACATTTCCCCTCAATTGAATCAGAACAGCTTTATAAAAGGCCTGGTTTACTGCCCGACTATACAAATTCATGATGAATGATACCCAGAATGTCAAAAATCACGATCAACATTGCTTTTACATTTGACTGATACTCGTGCCTTTTTAAGAAATGGCAAGGTTGGTGAATTGTCTCATCACCAGTAACAATGCAATTAATGAAATTAGGGTCGATTTCCATCCTTCCTTTCAAATCCTCACGCTTCTCGACAGAGAACCTTTTTCAGCCAACAAAGTTTGAATGTGGACAGGAGTGCTAAAGGTAAGAAGAAAATGACACGAGGGAGATGTGAGAAATGACCTAAGAGTTACGTACCTAATGAAAAAGGATGTGAGAGAATATGCAGCTTGGAGAACTTCCATCTAGTAACTATGGCAAACCCACATAAGCATGCAAACTGGTCCCTCATAACACCATCTGTGAGGGAATTACTACACCACGTGATGCCCCTCATAACACCATCTGTGAGGGAATTACTACACCACGTGATGCCCCTCATAACACCATCTGTGAGGGAATTACTACATCATCAGGCCCCTCTTAACACCTTCTGTGAGGGAATTACTACACTATATCAGGCCCCTCATAACACCATCTGTGGGGGAATTACTACACCACGTGATGCCCCTCATAACACCACCTGTGAAGGAATTACTACACCACATCAAGCCCCTCACAACACCACCTGTGAGGGAACTAGTACTCCACGTGATGCCCCTCATAAAGCCATCTGTGAGGGAGTTACTACACTATGTGTCTGCTGTTCAAAACCTCAACTCACATGATCTAAGTGTGTAAACACTAATCTGTATGTTCCTTCACCTCTCTCTAATGAAGGCTTTTGTTAAACCACCAATCTATGTAATAAGTCATTTATGTCCAATGTATATTTTCAGCCTTCGGGCTGCAAACTTTTTCAAAATAAACCGTTAATTATTATTGTTATTATCATTAAAACAATGATGATGATGAGTAACCATACACAAGAACCATAGCAGCAGGTTACAATAAAAAATAAGATCTTTCCTCCCTCATGTTGGTCATTACAAAAAACTATAACACTCAACACTAGAAAATTAAAGATAAATAAATTTTAGAATGAGCCAGAACAAATAAACCCTAATCTGTCTCCCAATAGCAGCATCTAGAGCAGAGGTGAGTGATACCAGTAGATATCAATGATAATGTTTAGTAAGCTATTACAACAATTAACTATAATTCATCACCAAGTTTACTATAATTTACCCTATACAATAAGTGTATTATAATACCAGGAACCAATTTGTGGCATTAGATGTTTGAGGGGCGATTTAAATCAAACTGTATATTGGGTAAATGCAAAATAATCTTTTCACCTGTTGTGTTTGCTGTTAAATAGTAGCATTGTTTTGTTACCCTCCTAAAATGACTACTAAGAAGCATCATGCATTTAATAGTTGTATCAGTGCAATAAAAACACACACACTATTAGTCTTCATAAAAATGATGTGTTAAGCAATGGGATAATGGACAAGAGCCTATTGATATTAGTAAAGCACTTGGCCTGGCATTCATATAAGTAAATACAAGTGGGCAAAACGTGTTGTTTTATGATACAGGCACTCATAGTTATGAACGAGTTGTATTCATGGACACACACACAGTAAACCCTCGATAACTCTGAATTTCATATAACTCGGCATGGGTATGGTCTCGGATTGTATCATAGTATAACTCGGGAAATGCCAAGATATACTGTATAACATTATCTGGGAAAATCTTGGCATATCTAGCCACCTGTGTCACCTACCATACCTCTGTGTCACCTTCCATACCTGTGTCACCTACCATGCCTGTGTCACCTACCATACCTGTGTCACCTTCCATACCTGTGTCACCTACCATGCCTGTGTCATCTACTATGATGTTTCATTCTTGGCCTTCAGTGCTGGTAGGTGTTACTTTTTTTTACATTTAGTACTTACATGTACACATACAGTATATGGGTCAACAATTTTTTAATGTATTTCGTATATAATAAATAAATAAATACTCTTGGTTCCAAGGCACTCTACCAAACTAGAAATGGTAAATACAGTACTGTACCTTCATAAATATCACTGAGAAACAAGATGTAATATGGTGCCTAAATTTATAACACACAAAATCAATTTAACGAAATGGAACCAAAGAAATTACCACAATTATTATACTATAATGTTTAGTTGAGTAGAGTATACAGTACATATACACACCTCTACGCCAAGTCCTCCTAGTCCTGAAATGAGGACATCAGAGGATGCCATCCGCCGCATGGCATCATGACCCAGTACATAGAGCTGGCGTGAGTACAGTGACTCATCAATGTCCTGCCCAGAGCCATTTGCAGCCATATTCTGCAAGATAAAATGTTACAATTAGCTTGACAAGAGTAATGACAACCAAATATTAATATTCATGAATACATATACAGTAGCCTTATATAATACATATTGTATTACATCACCAATACACTAAATATTTACAAATACTGTACTGCACAGTATAAGTTATAAACTTCCATGCAAAACAAAAACTCCATAAAATGTCATACATGACATTAATTTTCTTTTGTAAACATTACTTCATACACTGAACTCCAATATCCCTTAAACTTAACAATACTGTACTTTTGAAGACAACCACATTAACCCAGTGTTTAGTGCACTGCTCTATACAGTACAGTAAAAGGTGCATCAACAAAAGGGTGCAAATAACAATTCAACTTCTCAATTACCAAAAATGTGAAATGAAAAATCATTAAGTAAATACCAGTTTGTTTTAAATTCCAACAGCTGCTCAGGTGGAATTGAGCTACAGCAGTTGAACAATAAATCAACATTGTTCACTATGTAAGTTACCTCATATCTTGACTAGACACCAAAGTCAATTTTCTTTCAAACTCGTCCAAATTTTGTTGAGACCCTTCCTCATGCCAATATTTTCAAGCTTTAATGGTCAATGAAAATTATCAATGTTGTGCAGTAATCATTGCTGTAGTACAGTACAATCTTTAGGCCTGGCCTTGGATTCAAGTGTCCAGTTTTTATGGACTTGAACACTGAAGACTTGGACTTGACACAAGCAATATCCAGTTGAATCCATCACCAATTATAAATGAAATATTACCAGTTCTTTATGTAATCACCATTTCTATGAGCCAAATTTCAACAGCCATATGTACAGTACAATAGTGTATGAAATATATCAAGTTAAGTGGCTGTAAACAAAATAACTTCCTCCAAGATTTACATAATTTAAGATACTGTACACTGTTGCACTATGTGGTGCTCAATAGATTAGTAAACCACCACCAGTTTAATCTTTTTTTTATAAATGATGATGCATGAATTGGCAGCAACAATGATCACTTGTCATGCTAATAGAGTATTGTCCTTAACTAGTTTTATAAATTTTTCATACTTTGCAACTGTTGCATAATGACAGCATAATTATAGTCATTAATAAAGAATGGGCAGAATGTACAACCATTTAAAATCTTGGCATTCTTTTTCGATGACCCTGTCTGTATTTGGGTGCCCAGATTAGGACCGACTCGGCTTTGAACAAGTTGGAGTTGGACTTGGCAGTATACACTACAACAAAGTTTTAGCTACTGTGTTATCCATCAATATGGGTGCAGCTGCAGTATGTGCCGTGTGATCTTCACTTCTTTTCATGCTCATTCAAGCTATAAAATATGAAGACCCTATGAACTCACTAATGGAGTGGTCAAGTGCATGTGCAAAAGGTCATAATATTGTATTTTGATAAAAAGCTGGTAGCAGGAGAGAGAGACAGAGAGAGAGAGAGAGCAAGCACAAGTTCATTGTATAAGCTTGCCTAGCCACGAGGCACAAAAGTGCAGTCTATAAAAATTACCAACTTCAATTATGTTCAGACTGCTTGATAATTAATGAATTAAAAAATATTAAAAAACATACTATAATGTACAGTAGATGAATAGTGAGGGAAAGGAGAACAAAAGGCTTATCACCTTGACACTTAATACCCTGATCTAGCTTTCATTTCATATTTTTGTTCCCCTTAAGTAAGCTAACTGCATCTTATTACAGTACAGTATTGTATATAGTAAGTGCTGAAATCGAAGCTTGCAAAGTAAAAATTAATTATATGTGCACAACTGCATCAGACTGTTACAAGTGCAGCCTGAGTTCCTTCAGTGGTGATGTGAGATTGCAATACTTGATCATAACTCAGATGCTTGTGTGCTACCAATCAACATCAATACTCAAGCTAAATGGCAAACATTCATTATGGTTCCAGTGCTGAAACAAATGTTACAGCAAAAAATTTCTTCAGCTAAATTCACTATCAGAATCATGGTTGCCCCATCACTAGGGCTCAATGTTCATGGTTATTACAATTAGTAAAAAAGAAAAATCTAATATTCTTTACACTACTGTACTGGTATAAAATAAAAATCACACTACCCATTATATGGAAATGCAGAAAAAAATATTAAGTTCTTTTTAGTTTTAAAATGCATCTGCAGTGCTGATGACTGCACTTGCTAACTGCTTAAGTTTGTTTTGAACTGTAAAGTTTCATTGGATATTATCTATTCGTTATCAATATTAACAACAACATTATGCAGGAGAATTTGCAATCAAAATTCAGTCAGATTGAAGGAGGCTCTTCTGAACACCATACTGAATCGAGTTCTTAATGTGGTTGTCTGATCACCCAAACTGCATGAGCTTGTACTTAGTGGACTGAGCAACATATCTGCTACAGCTTATTTAAAGACTGTTTCTTAATGTCTATAGTTGCAATTTTAGTGCCCTATTGCAAAAAAAGCTCTAAATCTCCTAAAACATTTTAGTACTATACCATACTTTAATTTTAGGATTATACAAAGCTCTAAGAAATAGAACAATATTTGAGAAGTTTATGAATTTAGTCCATTAAGTGATCATAGTTAAATGACCAAATGCATACAATTCCACAGAAAACCTCTGAGCAACTCAGTATCACAAAAAGGTAAAAATAAAAATAAAAAGTGACTCCTGGTCACCTGTCATAGCATTTTCAAATGAATGAATCTTAAGTACATTTAAAATAATGTAACACTAAAGCTGGTATAATGCAAGCAAGAGTGATGCCATAATGAAAGTTGCCATAGCAAGGATGTAAGGGTACTCAACCCATGGTGTACGACGTTGAAAGACTGGGGTACCCTTTAAGTCAATAGACAAAAAGCCTGAATGAGAAATAGGATATTTTGGAGTGGGGCTGCGTTGGTGGTGGGATTTTTTTAACTGGTAGTGGGGCTCGCTGAGGTCTTCAACTGTAGTATAGGAGCTGCAGCACGACCCCATCTCCTGGGCCAGGCAACACTTGGGAGGTCCCAAGTTAACCTCCCCACAACAATTCATTCCCTACACCAACACTCCTCTGTAAAATAATAATTACCTCTCACTTTAAACTGGCAGTGCAATACTGCATGCCAAGAAAGTGTCAACTGAAACCCTTTCACTAATATTAAGGACCCACTGAACAACATCACACTGGAAAACACATACATACATAATGTGGCTACAAGTGATGCTAAATGATAATACATCTCAGGTGTCTAAATTATTCATTTCTGTATATACAGCATAGTCTGCATTTACTCGGTCAATTGAACCCGTGGAGGTCCGCATAAAACGAAAAACGCGTAAACGAAATAACAGAACATTTGGGATTAATTGAAATAGAGACTGGGCCGACCCCCAAACTACACTTTTTCCGACACAATACGTACGTTGTAGTATAAATAACATCTTGATTTTATGATGGTATGCACATATAATTAATATTTAAGAGAAATATCAATAATATTAGGTTTTTTAACACTTACATTAATAGAAAAGATGGCTGGGCACACGGGGATGGTTCCGAGGTAGAGGGCAGATTATTGGCCCTCACCTGTATCACTTGCATCAATTGTATCACTATCCACCACAGAGGTGTGTAGGGCCTCTTTGTCAAACCCCACAAAGTCCATATCCTCACTATCACTGACTTGGGCCAGCTGTGGTGGGTGAAGAACTCGGTAATGTTTTGATGAATGGGCGACCTAGTGCGCACCCTGCCCACACCGCTTCCAGCGTAAATGATGAAATTTACCGCGTAATTAAAACATTTCATTCTGGCAATTCTGGCAAGGCACCGCATAAATGACCAAACGCGTCAACAAAATCCACAGCACACAAGCCTATGACTGTGACCGGGGAACGCTAACCGCTGGACCACCAGGATACTAAAAGCAGTCCTAGACTTTGTTATATTTCACACAAAGCCTGTTCAACGAGCTTATGGCGCCGTGAACCTCTAATGGGGACCACCCGTATCACTTAGGTGGTCAGAGTAACGTTTTACCAAATCCGGCTTCGAAACACGAGGATCCATATATATTTCATTAGCCCAATAAAGCACGCGGACTTCTACACACAATCAACACCTCAACCCGCCAGGATTCGAACCCACGGCACACAAGCCTATGACTGTGACCGGGGAACGCTAACTGTATATATATATGTACAATACAGTATATATATTACCCCCCCTTACGGTAATCATCTCCCTGAAAAAGAAAGTACTGTAGTAGCTAAGTTTTTCTTTCATGACACACATGACAAGTCAAGTGCACATCTTGCCATTCTGCTCAGAATAGCCATGACAGGGTTTCAGCATCAATCCCCATTCAATTCCAGCCGATTTACATAATAACCCATGGGAGAAAGGGCGAGTGTTTGAACTGCCCATTTTGGGCTCATCCATAAAATGGGATTTCAGGATCAATCTTTAATTTCTGGCCAATCTCCCTTCCTTAGAGGCGGCTTGAGTAACTGAATTTAGCTACAAACAGGAGGAAGTACTACAGTAAATGCTCCAACTACTTTTATGTGATACTGCACCCTAAATGCTCTACTCCAGTATTAATTTTAACCCTTAGGCCCTGGGTGACATTCCAGAACGTCTGACTAGCGCGCCCCGGGTGACGTTCCGGAACGTCCGCTCATTTTCCTGCCATTTTTTTTACTTATTTAGTTAATTTTTTATTTTTGGAAAAGTTGATTTTTTTTCTTGAATTAACCTCACCGGGGTGTGTGTGTGTGTGTGTGTGTGTGTGTGTGTGTTACTGCCAGCAGCACCCTAACCCGGGGCTTAAGGGTTAAGAGACCTTACAAACTTTCCAAGGAAAATACACACAATATAGTGGGTCATAAAACTCAATTTTTGGACAAGACCAAATGACCTAAGGATCACACTGATTGATCCACTCCAAATTCAAACAAATAATAGACCCTGAGTGGTTCCTCCAAATTCTTACATGAAAAAAAAGAGTATCTAACACCCTCTTGAATGAGGATATCATATGCCAACCTGTTAACTCCTGAAGTTGAAACATACGAGTACCCTACCACTTCTGAAATATACAGTAAATTTCCAACATTCTATTTCAGCACATACAAAAGAATTTCCTCCAAATTTCAGGCCCCCAGTGACAAGGAAAAACAACCCATCTAAAGAGACCTGATTACTAACTGGGAAATTAGCTGATATCAAGACACAGAGCAACTGGTACCTGTTCCCAACTTGCCCATCACAGCTGCATCTAAATTATATTATTAGTTAACCATACACAACACTTGTACCATAAATTAATGTACAGTAAGCTTTTGGCTAAATACTTAACACTGAGGAAGTTGTGGTCCAACCCCCCAAACTTTATTATTATTATCATAGAGATAACAGAACAAGATCTCTTCCGTGGAAATTATGGTTGGGACTGAATGGTTTAGCACAAGGAAAATGATGAAGATCACAAACTGATGAAATATCACCTGCTCATTCAGACCTCCTCCCATAGTGTCAACGAAGAAAAATACTCAACAAATGCTTCTACTATCCTTTCTATGGCAAGGATTCCATTTCATATATAATGATTGTAAAATTCAGGGCCGGATTCAGGAGTGGGCAAAGTGGGCAACTGCCCAGGGGCCTCCACAATCTGGGGGCCTCCACATATTACATTATTTTATTTATTTGTTTATTCATTTGGGTTATTTTTATTTTCATTCTTTAAAATTCATGTTTATTTTCTACATGTGTGGTAGTAGCTATATCAGGGCTGGTCGACTTGAAACCACATGAATGACTCCAGTCATGTCTCACTTTTGTGTGTGTGTCTGTGTGTGTGTGTTGGGAATTTGTACACTATCAATAAATATACAGCTAATTAAAAATTTCTCAATGTTCTAATTTCCTCAATATAACTGCATATGGCTTCAAAATTCTCCAAAGAAGTGTTCAAATTTCAAAATTTTCCCGGGGGGGCTTACAGCGCCCCCCGGAACTCCCAGATGTTTAGGCTCGCTTCACTCCCCACCCCACCCTCTTGGGTAGTTATAATGACGGGGGCCTCCACAAAGAGGCTGCCCATGGGCCTCCACAGGTCTAAATCCGGCACTGGTAAAGTTAATCCCAGCCACTAATGTCAGGTCCCCACAGTCTAATCCAAAGGGTTAGTGTTGCACTAATATAGTACTAAAAATGCCAAGTGAAGGGTGACAGGTCTAATAAGAAAGAACACACAAATACAATACCATATTTATTCATCTATATGCATTGGTAGTACAGTAGTATATAATACAAACTGTATGTTGTATATAAGGGGGGGGAGGGGGATCAAGGGTCCCACCATACCAAAGAACCCTAATAACTACATAACAAATCTCATATATAGCTACCAATTCTGTGTGTGGTGTAACATATAATTTATATTTAAATATTGTTCCTTAACATTTTGTTTATACTACTGTATACTGAAAATTCACTCATCCTTAAAGCCAGGTACAGTAGCACATATACAGTATTTAGAATTCACCCCTTCAAAGATTCGTGGGAACAAAAGTACAGTACTGTACCGTACTCATAATTTTCAGTCTTACATACAGTACCCGGTACTTGAAAATCAGTGGCAGCTACCATGAACCACGGTTGAACAAACTAGTGCACATCACTCCACCAGCTTCCTGCATCATCATCATACTTTAAGGTTAGCTTTACTATATAAAAAAAAATATATATAATAGTAACAGGCAAACAATTCATAATTTCTGTAGTTAAACATATACACTTGCTTACCTTGTAATTCACTGTGATATGCACATACACACAACCAACATACTATACGGTACAGTCATAATGAAAAAGAACATGCTTTCTGAACAAAAAAACACACAATGAAGAAGCAAACTGATGTTAAAGATACGTATTCATTAGCAATGCATATACCTATACAGTACTGTATTCACAAAAACGACTACTGTACATGCCATTGGTTTCCATTAGATTAGCACTTATGGAATCAATATCAGAGACAGGAACACTCAACCTTGAAAACAAAGGAGAGGAATACACCTTCCAACACAAGCCAGGTGTGCACCAATAGTCAAACAGCTTTCTGGCTAAAAAAGGTTATTAAATCTACCAGAAACACCCATAAAAAGGGGCCACATCACTTTAACCAACAAGGCCAGTAGAGAAATTACCAAACTATCAGCTTGCAGACCAAGACGGTGAGGGAAGAGTCCAACCTTTATAATGTTTCAATTCAACTATGCAACTGGCTAAAGCAAACCCACCATGGCACCACAACACCCTCAACGAGTCACAGGGAATAGCCAACCCGGGCACAGGTCATTAACCCACAATGGGGCGAAAAAATAATAGTAAAATGAAATTAAAAAGAGAAGAGATAAAGACTATTAATCTACACCACGATAATGCCAGAAAACCAGCTTTTTGAAGTGAGACATTGTATGAGTATGGAAACACAGAAGTCAGAGCATTCCACATTTTGGCAGTGTGAGGAAAGAAGGAGGTACTATATATAACAAGTTATTCTAGTGTGACTAACATCCACACATAAACGGTGGGCACCACAGGCAAGACGAGTGTTATGAGCTGGCTTAGCAGGCGGTGGGGAATCGGCAGCGGAGGTGGTGTCACCGTTATGGTAAACGGAATACAGATGTACAGTATATGCAAATGGAAACTGTATTAAACTTTCATTTGGCTGTTATTTACTGGTTTGGTAATAACAGTATTTTTGTTGTAACTTATTTATTGGTACAGTATTATATTTAGTCATTCCTCACATTTACTGGTACTGTATATAATGTTTTAAGAAAACCATGGATTCAGGAGGAAAATACAGACAAAAGTTTTTCCCTAAATACCCTCTGCTAAAATGGGAGCTGCGTTTTATATGGCCATGCGTCTAATATGCCGTAAAATAAGTTATGTTGACGACTCCACCATTGGGATCAGTGTGAACAAC